GAACCGCGCCCGCAGCGGCCGGGGGGGGGAAGGGGGGGGGACACTGGATAAAAAGGTGGTTTTCCCCATCTTCCTACTTCTCTCAAAAGGAGGAAAAGCGTTTTTCGCAGGTTTCTGAGCCGACAGATCGTGATCTGCACAGCGGCCCTCGCTCAAGCTTAGTACTCCAGCACTGTAAGATGCAATTGCATTATATACCACATATAAATCTGTTGTTTGGTTGGGTTTTTTTAAATGATGCAAATCTAGCTGTAATTGATGCTTTTTAAGTCTGCCTCCTACAACCTGATGCCGTACGCCTACCCCTTTAGCACTGATGTTGAACACACACACGCATTCGGACACCAGTTTGCTAATTATTCCAACATGTTTTGCTCAGCTCTTTGTATGGGCGTCGCGGCTACCTAAGGTCACAGATACATCAAGCGCCTTTCCTATTAGTTAATAAAACTACACGATGACATCTTTGAATCAAGTTGTTTTGCCGTTTTTAGGAAACACAGTTCTTTATTGTCTTTCTCTTCCGTCCGTGAGAGTTTTACGCGAGTTTTCCAGACCCTGCGAGCTCCCAGCTGCTGGGCTGGCACCGGGGAAAGCTGCCGGGGGGGGACACACGACCCAGCCCGACCGCCCACCGCGGCCCCGGGGTCCGTCCGAGGGGAGAGCCAGGGGCGTACGAAAAGTTAAACTGTACCTGCAGGAGGAACGATGTTCCCAAGAAAAATACTCCTGGGAATTGTTTAAAGCCTGTTTGCTGCTGGGGAGCGTGGGCTGGGGGGCGCCTGGGGCGGGTGTCTGGCGGCGGCGGGGGCGTGCGGGGTCTCCAGGCGGGCTGAGGCCACACTGAAACGTCCCTTTGCCATGCAAAGCCAGGGTGTCAGAGAAGCTGAATATTATATTTTTATCGTGTTCCTGCTCTAGTTTATGTTGGCAGGGTTTGCCGAGAGGTTTTTATTGCCCGCTGACGTTGGCTTAACAATTGGAGCGCCCCACCACCGAGCAGAGGGATGATAAAGTAATTGCCCTCACACCTGCCCTTTTTTTTTATTTCCCCAGTTTGATGTTACAGACAGTTCTGTGCTCGGTACGAGGTATGGTGCAATGCCAGGGACAGCCTATGCTAAATTACAAACAAATCCACCCACACATTACTAGAGAGTAACTATAATAAAGGCTGAAAAGCGAGTTTTAGCAATTGGATCAAAGCCAATTAATTCCTGGCACGAATCGAAGCTATAGGTATGTTGTCAAGATTAGTTACACGGCGTTCACATCTATTACAGTCATATTTTAAATAATGATATCTATAATAGATCAAAACAGGAAGGATTTGATCCTGAACGTGAAGAAAAGGTGAAAAGCTGCACGTGCCCCATGTCGCAGGAAGTTCACGTTCAAGTCACAGCGAAAGTTTCTATTCTGCTTCTCACAACCCCTCATTCTCAGCCACTCAAGGTGGCTTTTTTCCCTCCAGCGAGTGTCACACAAATTAGGGAGCCGGGGTGACAGTCACTTATTTTACTCCTTGCAGTGCCCAGTGATATCTCCTTCCAGAAAGTGGTTTGGCTGCTGATTTTGGAGCCGATTGGGGCGACTTTTTTTTTCTGTTTTAGGAGCAGTATCTTCATAATTCTTGAGAAGAAATGATCACTATTAGCGTGCTGATTTCTGCAAAGTTTTTTTACAGACCCGCAAGGTGAAGGAGGTTTGATGGCATTTTCTGGCCCGGCAGCTCTACTTGCAGGAGGCCTGCAGCACCCCGGCTACGCTATACTTAATTATTTTTATGTGGCGCAATTAGCAGAGGATGGGGGCTTTATTCTGAACTGTAAAACAAAACAAAACTAAGCAAAAAAATAATGGGGGACTGTTGTAAGACTTGCGGGTCTAATTCTGCGGTATGTTAGCAACAGGTAAGACCACCAAAGCCTGTGGATTTTAGTCACAAGATAAGTCATTTACAAGCCGCCTGACTGAATATTCGAATTTTTGCATATAAATTCCTTCCTTATGCAGAAAAACGAATATATTGGAGTACATGAATGTTATTTGTATACATACATTTCTAGAGTTAACTTTGAGGGAAATTACCATTTGTGTTTTTGTTTAGAAAACTGTTAGCACTATCGCTTCTGGTCGAGAATTATCATAATGAGGCCCTCAAAAATACGCTTTTTTTTTTTCCCCCCCTTTTCCTTCTTCGGTGGGAGCGTGAGTGGGGGTCAGCTGAGAATTGGAGCTTTCCTTGCTCCGTGGGTAGGCAGTTTGTTACTCGTCACCTTCATATTTTCACCAACAAGTGTGTGAGGGGGGGGATCAGTGCAGGAAAACGTAACTGCGAAGCCCGAAGCCCCCGGAGCTGAGAGGAGACTCAGATGCAGAAGTCACAGCGGCTCCCGGGTGGCAGTTTCGTCCCCGGTGCCGCAGCTCGGGCCCCCGCCGCCCCCCGCCCCCGCCCGGCTGCTGCCCGCGGCGGGTTTCCCGGGAGGAGCCGGTGCCACTGCCGGGCAGGTTCCCCCGCTCACCCACCTTCCCGCGCCGCCTCACGCCTGTTTACATTCAAATTCGCTTTCTCGGAGCGTCCCCGCAGACAACAGACGGGCGGGATCGCCTCCGCCACCGGTGTGTGCTTATCGGGGAGCCGTGACATTGCGTCTTACCTCTCGGAGGGTTCGCTTTGGCACACGGCAGCCTTCCCGGGCTCCCTGAAACTTAAAGCAATCCGGCCATTAAAGCAGTTTTAAGACATTAAATGCTGTTAGGCAGAAGGGCAATGAAATCTCCGTACTGTAGCGCCTGCACTTCTTCGCCCTCCGGAGGACCGGCGAAGCCCTCACGTCCCCCCGGTGGCGGGGTGCGTCTCCCCCTCAAAATGGCACTTTCGAATCAATCAAAGGACACCAGGAACGCGGAAAGCGAGGAGTGCTGCCGTGGCCGGTCGCCTCCCACCGTTAAGACAACTTGACATTGACCCTTCAGCCTTGACCTTGTCCTTAGCGAGAGGAGCCCGCCTCGCTGCCGGGCTGGACCCCCGGCCCCGGA